CCCTATACTGTATATTTTTTCAATATATGCGTGACTTTTCGATATTTGAAAAAAAATTTAAAAAGTTAGAAATCGTATTTCACTTTACTTTATTACTTACACAATAAAAAAAACTTTAAATGTAAACATTTACCTTATGGAATACACCAAAAACAAGTGAAAAGATTAATTAGAAATTTAGAACGTCGTCTATGGTTTCTGTGAAAAAGCCTAACTTAGAGAATCTGAATACACATTCACACTGTGTATACCTAGACAGGAAAAACTCAGTTTTACATTCTTCGGATGGCATATGAACGTAGCTGTGCGAGTAGGACGTGATTATATACAGAGCAGATCCATACCCAAACTTACGTCCACCTACATACCATCACACCCACATCCACCCACACCCACACCCTTGATAAACCCTTGTATCGTTTATTATCAATTTCCTAAATCCTTTAAGGGTTTATGAGGGTTCCTGAACCCCTAAAAAGATTTTTATTATATGTCGTACTTTCCTAAACCCCTAAGGGTTTAGGAATGAAAAAAAGGTTTAGGAGATCTAATAAACTCTTAGAGGTGTAGAAAAATGCAACGTATAATTAACCTTTTTTAAAGGTTTAGGAATTGATAATAAACGATAAAAGAGTTTATCAAAATACGGGGGAGGATTTAGAAATTTAATAAACCCTTTTCATAGAGTTTAGTTTTTTGCGAATTTTTTTAGAGTGCAGTTTCTGTTTATATATATGTAATCAGTATACAAAATAATTAATACGATTTCTAACTTTTTAAATTTTTTTTCAAATATCGAAAAGTCACGCATATATTGAAAAAATATACAGTATAGGTAATAATTTAAGCGTATGTATCAAGATATTATTTCCAAGTTGTATGTACAATAATGACATGCTACTGCTACTGGTACTAGTATCATTTTTCACATATCCTATGTAGTCTAAAATGGCTTCTTGAATTTGCTTACGTGCATTTCGAAATCCAACCGTTGGATAAGAAAAGCCAGTTAAATTTCGTAAATATTCACGATAGAATGTGTCTTTGACTAACAGTGGATCATCATACGCCTTCATGGATATAGGCATCAAATATCGCGGAATACTATTAGGCTTATCAGCACTGGCTACTATAGATGCTTGCATTCTTGGTGTAGCCATGAATTCAACAAATAAACGAGCACCATTTAACACATCGTCGGACATGTTTTGTCGAAAAACAAATGCATCAGTAAAAAAAAGAGCAGTATTCTGTAAACTACCAATTGGCATTGGAATTATTTTTATGTTATCGTAGTCTTCTGATTTACTATGTTTCAAAACATGAAACAGTCTTTCAGAATAGCCAAACATTGTTAGAGATCGATTTTCTGCAAATAAAATAGCTGGCATGTCCAAGTATTTTCTAAATGTGCCATCGAGACAATGATTTTCATTCGAAGATCGATTACACAGCTCAATAAACTTGTGCATGTTTTCAAAGGAACTCTTCATCGAAGCATGTAGAGCATGTGCTGTTACGTCAGATGCGGAGTCGTGACTACCTTGATAACTATTCATCCATAGAGCTGGTAAATCCCAACTTGAGTCTAGATTCCCTACTAGGCGATAGCTCTCTGTAGACATATTGCCAAGAATAGAAATGAGCTGATCAATGATGTGCACATCAGTAAATTGTTCGTCACGGGTAAACAAGAGAAATGAACATAGAAGATGTGGAAAACCGTATATTGCATTATTCATTTGTACCGCCATACGAGCAGCATCATGCCAATCTGCCTGGCTTGTTGAACTAATAATTTGTGGAGCTAAGACGCCAGCATTAACAAGATCACCTAGAAGTACTGTGTCGATCTCAACAATATCATATCCGCTGCCATTACTCATGAGCCATGTAGTTAATGTATCCAGATCATAGAAATTATCATCGAAATTTATTGGGCGTAACTCGAGAACAATATCAGGAGAGACTTGATTAAATTCCTTGGTAATAAATGCAAGTAATCCTTTATAGTTATCCTCACCTGAATCAGGTATATACGGAAATAGGGCAACTTTCAACGTTGCCTTATCCTGTATCCTAGATGACATTTTACGAGAATGTTCACTCTTGACTGTACTAATTTGTAATAGAAAAATAATAGTCAGCGTTGACAAAACTTCTTGAAGGTACATTTCTCAGTAATTTAGATCAAAATAATACTATGAAAAAACTTGCGTCGACTTTGCAATCAAAAACAAATATGAGTTCTTCATATCACATGGATGGAGTTGATTTAAGAGCTCATGTGACACATTCCTGATAAGACAAAATGTCGTAAAAACGCTGTAAATGTTACATACTTCGATAGCAAATATTGTTCTCGGTTTGCAAAAAAAAAAGAAGTTAATGTATTTCATTAAATAGCAGGGTACAAGGACATTGTTCGAACGTACAAATCATTGGCTCTATGTAATTTTGCCAAATGTGAATTTGGCCAACAATATGTTCGCCACTGGCGGATTATTAGTGTGACTAGGGATGCAACGGTGACGGTGGCCACCGGAGCCACCGGCCATCGGTTCACCGGTGCGAGTGTGGATGTGGGTGTGGGTGTGGGTGAGGAATACATAGACACCCACACACGTCCACACCCACACCCTCTCGACTTTTCTAAAGTCGAAACAACGTGTTAAAAATGCGTTTTCAGATTTTAATACTGCAATATAATAAAAGTCTATTTTTGTTCAATGAAATACGTTTAGCCTTAGTTAGCTTATAAGAACATTAGAGGATTGCTAGAAATTGCTTTTTTGATCTCTCGGAGCGATCTTTGTTTTCGTATCGACTCATATTTCTTTACAGGAATACTTGAGATAAATTTTATGGTTATTTATTATTTATAGAATTGAAATATGAGGAAAACATGGAGCACGAGACTGCTACATGTGATTCTAAACTATTTCTCCTTTTTTGAATTTGGCAAGCATTAATATTCATGTCGAGTAATAAATTAATCTTCATATTTAAAGAAATAATTGACCGGCGTCTTAATTGTGCCAGAAACAACAAAAATATTACAATTTCACATTCAATTTGTTTTTTAAACACATTTGTAAGTGCTGATCCTACTGTGAATGTAAGCTTTTCGATAATCAAAGTATATGATGCAGAAAATACATATAACTATATATATTATCGATAACATCATGTTATTGAAATGGATACTGTCTTTCTTATTATTATTATGTTTAAAAAAGAAAAAAATCGCTTCGCATCATTTTTACAATATCTGTTGCTATTGTCAAAATGGCATGCTTTACTAAAACTTTACTCGATGGAAGTACACGTTAGTAATTCTATTGAAAAATGAATATGTATAATATTGAACAACAAAACTTTTCACCATCATAGGTGATTGTGGAATTCATGATGATAAATTGCGTCGTTTTGGTAACGAATGGAAAACAACTACTTGTCATGAATGCAAATGTAATAAAAGTGGAATAAAGTGTTGCATGTAAGTAATTTTGTCCTATTGTCGAGTATTATCATCACCTATCTATTATATTTCTTACAAAACACAGAGCTGACAAGTTTATTGTTGCTCATTGAGGTTCTTTCATTTGATCTCGATCTTACTATCGTTTTCACCATATCGAATATCATATTCGTTAATCATTAGATAAAAATAAATAATGCGAAAATTTCCAGTGAACTATTGGCACAACGAGAAAGTTAAGGATGAAGAAAGTCAATATCACATCGTACATAGGTGGCGGAACGTTTCTAATTTAGTGGGGTTCAATTCTTTTTAAACAGCCATAGAAAGTCGACATTGGGAGAGAAAACGGACTTTTCAATTTCGTTGTCACAACTTTCATTCAAAACATTTTCTGTACTAATCCATTTACTTGCCTGCAGAACAATCGAAGATTCTACTGCACTATGAAAATTTTTATTTCATTATCAACAGAAGCATAAAAAATCTTAAATCTTGACTAAAGCAAATAAAATAGTCATAAGTACAAAAACTATTATTCATGCCCAAAACAGGCTTTTCTACTCTGATTTTTTGCAATAAAATCAGAATAAATGCTGTTCAAGTCTAACTGATCTAATTTTCCTTTATGAATATGATGAATAAAGACATGATTAAAGCGTTGTTGTGTTATGGTCGATCATAGATATGTTTTTATTCTATTCATAACAGGAGTCGCTAGTGTTAATAAGTGAAGATGTTTCAAAAACATACAAACATATACTTATTAAACATATAATCCCGATGAAATCTGTATTTTTTCAAAAATCTGAGCCCCTCTTAGCCTAATGGCTGCGCCGCCTATGCATTTTAATATTATTTCCAGTAACTAGAGAGTCTAGCGATGTCTATGTTAAAGGTATATTTAACCTCATGAGTCGTCTATGGGCTGATTATCAGCATAAAACGAAGATAGTATTAGTTGTAGTGTAACTGCACATCATAAGGAATGCCGATCTTCGTTGCACATCTTTTTAGAAATTCCTTTTATTTCAAGACAATTTGTTACAGAAAATCATATCAAGTGAAAAATTTAATGGAGGGACTGCATATTATTGTGGAGTCAATTTTATTTATAGTCTGTTTCACAATAATCGTTTATAATAATGAATCCACAAATATGTTGAAAATTATGTATACATTTTGTGTAAATAAATAATTCATCTGGCAATTCTGATAATGAGAGAAGGCAGTTCGGACTAGAGCTTTGGGGTTAATTTTAGAACCCAGAAGATTAGGGATGAGAATAGGGAGTTCTCGTATACCTTAAAGAAGTTAGAGAGAGCTCTCAAGTGTAGATCTACGTAAATCAAGACTAGCTTGAAAGGTGATTCAACATATATTTAGTGTTACAGAAGATATCATATGTAACGTCATAGAAAGCATCGAATAAGGAACCATTCGACACGTTGAGAGAAACGGATTGGTACGAAACTAAAACGTGGTTGGGGATTCGTTGCAAAGTTCTAAATATTCTTTTATAGCTTCGTATGGTACGATTTTATTTTTCAGTCCATGGATGACTGTTCTATGTTGTTGACACAATTTCCATAGCTGTGCTATCTATATATTTTCTTAGGATTCACCTGTTGTCCTCAATCATTGCGTACATTTACAGGTTTAATATTGCTAACCTTTTAACAAATAGACATATGCGCGACCTATATAAATTTTTTTCTATTGTTTTATTGCTAAAATAGAGACCAAAGTCAAGACCCTCATGAAGAAAATAGGTGCAAATAACATATAAGTGTTAACAAAGGAATTTTTTATGGTACGATGTAGACGAGAGCAGAGTATTGTATTTGTGTTGTCTATTTGTTTTTATAAATACCTTGCCTTCTAACCTGTTCTTATCTGTATTTCGATCTCGATAAGCAAACATTTACTATTTATGATTTCCATACGATAGAAGAGAAGTATTCTGGTAACTAGCCGAGGCGGGGTT